TAAGTTTCTGCAGTTGTCCCCCCTACATACTTTACTTATGAACATATATTTAGCATGTTGTTGTTGTTATGTGCCATCGAGTCGCTTGTGACTCATAGCGAACCTACATACAACAACCCTAAACTATGCTCTGTCTTGTGCCAGTCTCACTGTCTGTGATACACTCATCCCGATTACCCCAGTCACTGAATCAATCCACCTCATAGAGGGTCTTCCCCTCCTGCACTGTCCCTCCACCCTACCAAGCATGATGTCCCTTTCCAAGGACCAGTCCGGTCCCTCCTTACAGCATGTCCAGATTATGTCAGATGAAGCCTCAAAATCCTTGCCTCCAAGGAGCATCCTGGTTTAACCCTCTCCAGGGTGAATCTTGTTTTCCTAGCAGTCCATGGTACCCTCAATACTCTTCTCCAGCACCACAGCTCAAAGGCATCAATTCTCCTTCTATCCTCCCTGGTTATTGTCCAACTCTCTGATGCATAACAAGTGATTGCAAAGACCATGGCCTGTATCAGATGCACCTTAGTCTCCAGAGAGAGACCCTTGCTCTTCAGTACTTTGGAGAGGTCCCTAACAGCAGACTTTTCTGTTGCAATATGTCTTTTAATTTCCTGGCTGCTGGTGCCAAGAGTCTTGACTGTGGAGCCAAGCAAACTAAAGTTGTGAACAGTCTCAATTTCTTCACCATCCATCCTGATGCTGCCAATTGACCCAGTGGTGAGAATCTTTGTCTTCTTGATATTGAGCCTCAATCCATATTGAAGGCTATATATAATGTGTACTGAACCCTTTCCTTCCTATTCATTCTCTCTCTCTCTCTCTCACACACACACACACACACACATATATATTTTTTTGGTTGTTTTTACTGTTGTGAAATTGTATTTTGTAGTATTTACCTATATACAAATTGACTTACGGTAAATACTTTAAAGCATGTGTTTGAATTTGGTGTTTGACTTAAAAATATTTTCATTATAAGGAATAAACTTGAATATAGTCTAGTTGTGACTGTAGTGGTAATACTCCTTGAAAGGCATTCACTTAGAATAAATGTTTTTCTTATTTTTAAATGTTATTTGATTTATCATGATAAATTGGGCACTCCATTGTCTTCAGACTTGAATAAAATCGGAGTTCTTCAACATAATCCACAAGAGTTCTCAAATGTTAACGTGCTTGTTAAATTGCCTGAGATTTTATTCATCATTCTGAAGATACTGATGCACTTAGTCTGTGATGTGGCCTGAGATTCTACATCGACAACAGATTTTGAGAAGATGTAGATTGTGCTTGGCGTCTGTAATCTCTATTTTACCTCTTTTTCTAATTTTATATTTACTTGTTTTGTATTGCATACAACTGTGTTAATGAATTTGCTTATGGTATCCCCAACAAGGGAATGCTGGTGACCTAGTTGTCAGAAGATTGGCTGTGAACCCTAAGGCATGTAAGGTTTGAATCCATCAGCTGCTCCATGGCAGAAAGATGCTGCCTTCTCTTGTGTGATTTTTTTTTT